AGTTGGTTGGTTGCTCGGTTGATTGGTCGGTGGCTCAGTCATTGGCCGCTCAGTTGGTTGGTTGCTCGGTTGATTGGTCGGTGGCTCAGTCAGTTGGCCGCTCAGTTGGTTGGTTGCTCGGTTGATTGGTTGGTCGCTCAGTCAGTGGCCGCTCGGTTGCCCAGTCTCTCAGTGGCTCAGCCCCTTTTCCATCTCCGCCCTTCCACGAGTAACGTTCCCCTGCGCGGTGTCGTCCCGCAGTCCGAGGACCTCGGCGCCTGCGCCCAGTTCGAGAGCAGCCGCCAGACCAGGAACATGATGCCGAGCGCCAGCTGCGTCTTCCCCACCTTCAACCTGCGCAAACCCTCCTCGGAGACGGACATTGAGAACTGGGCCTCCAAGCACTTCAACAAGCACACCCAAGGGCTCTTCCGCCGCAAGGTCTCCATCGCCAACATGTTGGCCTGGAGCAGCGAATCCATCAAGAAACCCATGATCATGACCAACGACCGCAACGTCAAGAAGGAGGCGTGCGAGATCTTCAAGCTCATCCAGATGTACATGGGCGACCGGCGGGCCAAGACGGACCAGCTCAACGTGGCCTTGGAGATCGCCACCAAGGGCTGGAGCGTGCAGGGGCTGCGAGACGAGCTCTACATCCAGCTGTGCCGGCAGACCACCGAGAACTTCCGTTACGAGAGCCTGGCCCGGGGCTGGGAGCTCATGGCCATTTGTTTGGCCTTTTTCCCCCCCACTCCCAAATTCCACTCCTACCTAGAAGGATACATTTACCGGCACATGGACCCGGTGAATGACACGAAAGGTAAGTGAGAAAACCACGGCCCGGCGGCGTCTGTGACCGCCCCGTCCTTGGAAGTGTCCGAGGCCATGTTGGATGGGGTTTAGGAGCGACCTGGTCTAGTGGAAGGTGTCCCTGCCCGTGGCAGGGGGTGGAACAAGATGAGCTTTGAGGTCCTTTCCAACCCAACCCCTTCCACGAGTCCGCGATGTCCCAGCCCGGTTCTTTGTTCCGCTTTGGTTCCTCTCCCATCCGTTGAGTTTCTCCTTGGGAAGGCGGGCGAGGAGCTCATCCAAGACCCACCCCCAGTGGGGGCTTTCCCGCCCTCCTCCTGCCGGGAAATCCGACGTGAGCTCCGACAGGGAACGAGCTCGGACGCCGTTGCCGCGGGATGGACGTCGCCTCCACCGGGGGGGTCCGTGAGCGAGTTCCTGAAACTTCTCCCATCCCCCGAGGAGACGTCCCACCCACCCGTTCGAGGTGTCCAACTCATTTCCCACCGGATTCAACACCCGGAGCATCCCCGGAAGAGGCTCCGCCCCCCAACCCCTCCTGTCCAATCAGTGTCGCCCCCCTGGGTTTGGTCCCGAGTTTTTGTCGTTTTGAGTTTCGTGTTTTATTTTCAGGTGTTTCGTTGGTTTTGTGTCGAGTCATTGATTGGTTTCATCGTTACATTGATTTTAATTTGCATCTTCATTTGCATAGAATTTGTTTGTATTTGCATCCCATTGTCGCTTCCCTTCGGTTTTTATTTTCGTTTTAGTTTTATTTTATTCTTTTAATTTTCAGTTTTCTTCGATTTTTTATTTTTAAATCTTTTCCTTATTTTTTATTTTTAATTAGAACTCGCTTTCATTTTGGCATTTTTATTTTTCTTTATTTTGCCCTTAGTTTTTGCTTTTAATTTCAATTCCCTTTTATTTCTAGATCCCTCGTTGTAATTTCATTTAATTTTTATTTTTATTTCCTTTATTTTATTTATTTCCTCCTTTAATTTTAATTTATTTTTATAGTTTTAATTTGATTTAATTTAATTTTTTTACTTCGTTTCATTTTCGGTTTTTATTTTCGGTTTTTATTTTCATTTTTTTTATTTAGTTTTTTATTTTTATTTCCTTTATTTTTTTTATTTCCTCCTTTAATTTTAATTTATTTTTATAGTTTTAATTTGATTTAATTTAATTTTTTTACTTCTTTTCATTTTCGGTTTTTATTTTCGGTTTTTATTTTCATTTTTTTTATTTAGTTTTTTATTTTTATTTTTTATTTTTATCTCCGTTCCCTTTATTTTTCTTCCACGATTTCCCTCCCCCTCCCCCCATTGTTCCCTCCCACCGAGTTCCTTTTCCAGCCTCACATTCCATGTTCCCGGCCCCCCTCCGTGTGTTTCTCCCCAGTGACGCGGCACATCCGTCACCTCCTGGAAAGGACCAATCAGAAGAAACCCAAATTGCGAAAGAAACCCAAGCCCCAAATCGAGGAGCACCATGGTAGGGACCCCCCAAAATCTGGGAGCACCCCAAAGCTGGGACCCCCCCGGATCAATCCTGGGAAACCCCGGAATGACCCTTCACCCCCCAGATCAATCGGGATCCCCTGGATCCAGCTGGGATCACCCGAAAATCTGGGATGGCCCAAAACCTGTTTCGGGATCCCCTGGATCAATGTGGGATCCCCTGGATCAATGTGGGATCCCCTGGATCAATGTGGGATCCCCTGGATCAATACCAACCCCCCCGGATTAATATGGAACCCCCCAGATCAATCTGGGACCCTCTGGCTCAATGTGGGATCCTCTGGATCAATGTGGGATCCCCCAGTTCAATGTGGGATCCTCTGGATCAATATGGGATCCTCCAGATCAATGTGGGATCCCCTGGATCAATACCAACCTCCTCGGGTTAATACAGAACCCCCCAGATTAATCTGGGACCCTCTGGCTTGATCCAGGTCCCCCTGGCTCAATGTGGGATCCCCTGGATCAATGTGGGATCCCAAGGATCAATGTAGGATCCCCTGGATCAATGTGGGATCCTCCAGATCAATGTGGGATCCCCTGGATCAATACCAACCTCCTCAGGTTAATACGGAACCCCCCAGATCAATCTGGGACCCTCTGGCTTGATCCAGGTCCCCCTGGCTCAATGTGGGATCCCAAGGATCAATATGGGATCCCCTGGATCAATGTAGGACCCCTCAGAACAGTGTGGGATCCTCCAGGTCAATGTGGGATCCCCTGGATCAATACCAACCTCCTCAGGTTAATACAGAACCCCCCAGATTAATCTGGGATCCCTCTGGCTTGATCCAGGTCCCCCTGGCTCAATGTGGGATCCCCTGGATCAGTGTGAGATCCTCCAGACCAATATGGGATCCCCTGGATCAATACCAACCTCCTCGGGTTAATACGGAACCCCCCAGATTAATCTGGGATCCCCTGGCTCGATCCAGGTCCCCCTGGCTCAATGTGGGATCCCAAGGATCAATATGGGATCCCCTGGATCAATACCAACCTCCTCGGGTTAATACGGAA